TCCGGGAACGCCGGACCCCCTTAGCGCTTCGGGAGAGCGAGGGGCACCGAGGGGGAGCGAGGGGTGCGTCTCGCCTTGTTCCCCCCCCCCCGCAGTGCAGAGGGGGTCCGGAGGGGCACCGAGGGGGCTTGGTGTTGTGGTCATCGAGGGGATAGGGCGGACCCCCTTCATCCCCCACAGCACAAAGGGGTTCCGGCGTTCCGGGAACGCCGGATCCCCTTCGTGCTATGCCCATCGTCGGATCGGATCTCGGACCCCCGTCCTCCCCCGCGCCACAAAGGGGGTCCGGCGTTCCGGAAACGCCGGACCCCCTTTGTGCTGTGGCCATCGAGGGGTGCGGACGGACCCACTTCTTCCCCCGCAGCTCAAAGGGGGTCTGGCGTTCCCGGAACGCCGGATCCCCTTGGTGCTGTTGCCGGCGACGGGGAGGGAGGGGGCCCCTTACTCTCTGGCAGCACCGACATGGGTCCGGCGTTCCGGGAACGCCGGACCTTCCTCGGTGTTGCTACAGGGAGGGGGAGGGACGAACATGAAACACCGCGGGGTTCCGTCGAGGACGAGGGCGAGGGAGGGGTCCGGCCAACTACCGTGCCGACAGGCACGCTGGTGGGGTCTGCTATTTAGGGGACGCCAGACCCGCGCACGCTACGGTCGTGGAACGCCGGACGTCTAGGGAACGAGGGTCGGGGTGTCGGGGTATCGGGCGTCTAGGGAACGCCGGACCCCTTTTCAGATTGGGTGGGGGGTCGGGCGTTCTGGGAGCAAATGACCCCCTTTCATAAATGCCCCGAGGGGGGCGGGCGTTCTGGGAACGYCGGACCCCCTTTYAGAAACGAGGGTCGGGGGGGYGGGCGTSTAGGGAACGCCGGACCCCTTTCCAGAAAMGAGGGTCGACTCCACATGYGAAGCGCTTCTGTTTGTTCCTCATTTGTTCTTTGCTYGTGCGTTTCSTTTGTTTGTGCCCTCTAGGTCAACCTRCTGCTTCGTCCTCTYGGGCATATGGCAGGTCAAAAATCTACAACAACAAACCATGGGCTCTGGACTGGGTTGGTGGTCTGCATAGGCCTGGGTGTGGGGCCGTCGTCTTCTTGAGCGACGACAATGGTGCGACGTGGTACTGTTGTGGGGGTGTTGAGAAATCTGAGAGCGCCAGGAATACCTACGACGGGAGGTCGTTCAGGACCTTCTTTCTTACGTCAGTTTTCGACAAGGATGACACAAATTGCGTCAAGGAAGACAAGAAGGTCGGCCTTGACTTGCGGCTCTTTCAAGGCTACGACGTCAAGGCTTTCTCCATAAAAGCGTTTGACGTGCGCGGGGACGGCACCGAGCTTCGCATGCTGACTGCGGAACAGTTCCTCAGTAGAACGAACGGCTACCGCGTCACTGGCTGCCTTCCTGTCGTTGAAAGTTCCTTGGAGCTCACCAAACCCTTGTTGAAATTCAGCAGCCCGGCGGACCAACTGCCAGGCGTTGTTAAGGAGTACAGGGAAGCCTTCTCGAGGCTGCCTCTGGACCAACAAGCCGACTGCGCTTTCGTGCCCTTTGTCACGAGCTCGAGGAAATCGCGACAGACGCCATCCGCGCCGGTTGGGAAGAGGAAACAGTTGGTTGCTTGTCCAGCTCCGCCTTTGCCAGCCGCGTCGCCCTCGCCCTTGCCCACGGTGAGGGGAGGTCACGATATCGCTCAATATTCCAGCGAGGATACGGAGTACGATGACAAAAGTCTGTATGGACGCAATGCTCCGCGTGACAGTGCCCAGGAAGGTGCGACTGCCCTCACTGAGCGAAACGAGGAGGAAGAAGATGGGGGAAGCTGCGGTCCACGTGACGACGACGGTGATGACGAGTATATGGACGTTGGGGATGAGAACATGCAGGACCAAAACATGCTTGGCGATGACGACGTCGGTGTCACGTCGGAGCATGGCCCTGGCGACATCCCCACCGGTTCTGTGGGAGCGGTTGTTGGTCGGCCCTTGTCGTCCCCTGCGATATGGCATTCGCAAGGCGGGAGTCAGGGTGGGCATGACTCGCAGGAGCACGGAAGATCAAAGTCGAGGAAAAGGACAAGAGAAACTTCTCCTTTTGCTTCCGCTCACAAGAGACAAGCGAGGACTGACGCTGTTAATGAGGCTCGTGGAGCTCTGGTGGCATCCCAGGAGGCGAGACCTCCTCGGAAGAGCAGCCAAGGGGGAGGATCTGGCGGTCGTGGCGGCGGCCGTGGTGGCGCAAGAAAAGGTAAGCAGATAGTGAGGGCAGAAGAACTGCGGGACTCAGGGGATGAGGGCGAGGGAGTGGGCCCTCGCATGCCCGACGATGGTGATGAACCGCTTCAGCACGCTGCGCCCATCGACAAGACGCGTTGTTTCTTCCTCGAGTATGACGAGCGGGGTTTTGCTAAGCAAAAAGTCCTTCCTGTTCTTGTGGACGTCATGAATATCAAACGCATTCCCCGCGGGAATATTCTTTTCAACCACCGCTCTTTGTCTGCGAACATTGTGCGAGGCATCGTGAATGCCATCGAGAGTTCCATCACCACGGAACCGGGGGCGTGGGATAGGCCTGACCTCGTGCTTGCGCCGGTTGACCGCAACGACATCGTTGGCGGGCAGGGTAGGCGGATAACACCGACCGAATTCTTCGAAAGAGACTCCTCAAAGTTCGATTGGTATGTTGTCTGTGGTCAGTATACGGTCGAGGCCATGAAGACATTGGTAAAAAAGGGCTCTCCGACAGTCGACGTTTATGGCCTTCGCTCGTACTCTAAGGTGCGGGTCATCTATTTTGGAGATGAGCAGACACGAGGGTATTTCAATGTCTCCGCCTTCGTCAACACGCACAAAAATCGGGCCATGATGTTGTCCTTCGAGGATGCTGTCCGTGATATGAGGCAATGGTGGATCGATAACCATCGAATCGAGGCCCCGAAAGGCACGGTCAGCGATAAGGATGCGGTCGCCGTTACGCACCAAAAGAAGTGGCAAAATTTCTTAAGGGCCTCCATGGGGAAGGCATGCGACAAGGCGTTCGTGAAGCAAGCACTCGAGAATGAGTACAGTAAGGATTGGAGAAATAAACTTCGTGGCTACATGAACCTCGCCACATCCACCGAGGCTGTGTGGCCACTGGTCGAGAAGTTCTTCGAGATGTTCAACGAGGGGAAGCTGCCAGTTGGCGATGGTAAAATACCGCTTGACATGCCGGGTAGGATGGAGGGGCGCCAGCCAGGCCCATACACCGATGAGACGAAGGGGCAAATAACATTATACCATTGTATATACTCGAGAGATGGTCCCAAAGGCTCCACCGTGTCGTGGAAGGATCTCTGTCCTTCCTACTTCAAAAATTTTGGGGATTTGACGTGCCGCGAGATACCATTGCACTACTCCTCCTCATGAAAGGGAAGGTGGTCGCGACGAACGTCAAGGTCATGCCTCCGAGAGTGAATACGGAGTGCCTCCTCGACATCATGCGCAAGGAACGGTACATGGTCCGTATGTTCAACTACGTTGTTTTTCGCGCCGAGGGAAGGGCGGATGATGAGTGGAATGTTGCCTTCTTCATGTCATATAAGGACCTCGAAGACAGGTATGGGCCGAACGGTCTGTGTGCAGCTGAATGGGAGAAGGAACGGGACAAGCTGCATGTTAACAAAGTGAAGACGGTCCCTCGACGGCTTGGAGGGGTGGAGGAGGCAAGGCAAGGATCAGGCTTGGGCCCTACGGCGACAATGTATAAGGAGGCTCCGTTCCACTTTAAGGTGTTTGTATACACCTCAATCGATAAGCTCGATCTGCTTCGAGCGGAGGTCAAACGGGTCGTCTCCAGCACACGTCATATCGTGTGGGATAAACTTAAAAAACAAACAACATTGCTACCGGTGTGCATGCCATTGAAGGAAGTGCTGGCTGCGCCAGCTGACATCGTCGCTGAGGCGCAAAAAATGACCTGCAAGGCAGTCATCCTTGACATCTCCCCTGCTAACTTCTACACGACATGGACCTCTCAAGAGTTCGACGCTCTGCACTCTATAATGACTAAGTGTTGTGGCATTAATTGGGTTCTTTTTATCTTCGCACCGCAGAAGGTGCAAAGTGATGTTCTGCGTTTCTTATTCCAGTGGGAGGACATCGAACTCATCCTCGGGACCTGGAAACGGGTGGACAGACCATCGAATGACATCACGAGGTATGGCAATATCGCTACGGCGAGTCGAGACATGATGGCCATTGTCCTGCAAGCGGAGGGAGGGGATCTCAGAAAGGTCACGGTCGCACCCCGCCTTGTCAATAACCTCACAAACGTGCATGTTGTGGAGGACAAGTTCAGGAAGTGTCTGGGGAAACACGGTGGTATAGAGGGCGATGAAAGTGTGGTGTATTCCATCTGGGAGCGAGAGCCTGACAAGTTGCGTTCGTTGTGCGGGTCATTCGTCGGGGAGGCGGAAGGTGTGTTTTTATTGGGTAGGGCGCACACGGGTCTTGTGTGAGAATTCTTACTGGCAGGGAATAATGTCATTGCGTGTGACGAGTCGGCAAAGGACATTGCATACTTGACAAAGTTCATCGATATACTTGTCAAGGACGACAGATTCAACTGCCACGTCGAGAAACCGTGTTGCAAACATCGCCCGAACAGGGACATGTTCCACAAGTTGGGGCCTAAGAGACTGAAGGTGTGGGAGTACCTGTTCCGCGATATGCCATAAGGACGGCTTGACGGGAAATATATATACAGGAAAGCAAAGGCAACAGAGACCTTCAAACATTATCATGGTGCTCTCACAGGCGCCTTTGAGACTTTTGTTGCTCGATGCGAGATCCTCAAGTTCGATCTTCGCAAAGACCAATTGACGTCCAAGAACTGGGCGAGGACACATGTGTTGAGGTTCCGCGCGGAGGAATGGTGCAAGCTCATGATGACGGAACTGTCCATTCGCACGAAGGGTCCATCCCGGTGGCCGCCCCAAGCGTCGCCTCAATGGTGGCCCCGTCGGAGACTGCTGCATTGCAAGACAATGGAAGATGCGGTGGCAATGAAGAAGACGACATTGAGATACCAGGCGAGGCGTCGACGCTCGCACCAGGCGATGCAATTCCTCCAGGCTATTGTGCTGACCCGAACACGATTTATTTCTTGGAGGGCAAACACACCCACACAGGCGAGGATCAATGGGGCCATGACATCATATGGCATGAGGGCGTTTTACAGCCGTGCATCCAAGATGGGGAGTGGAAGATGGCGGTGAAATACACAAGCGGTTGGAAGACTTTTCGTCGGATGTCAAAGGACATCTGGTTGAAAACGACGGAGCTCACGATCCTGCATCGTGTGCGCGTCGAGAATCCAGGGCAGAGCGAGGCCGCCATCAATGCCAAGGCCGAAAAATTGTTTCATGTCTTGCGCGACAATCGACAACTGGAGTACAACAATAAATTTTATGCCCTGCGCTCGAGTCCCTCACGTGGGTCAATCAACTGGAAGGTTGATCAAACCACCAGAACCTTGGAGGGGAGCTGCTCTCATGATTTCATGCCTTCGGCTGAGCCGGCCTCTGTGGCCGCGCAAGCAGGGCACAGGGGAGATGACGGGACTACTGTTGTCGGGCCTCAAGAGGTTGACATGACGTCAATGCTGTAAATATTGGAAAAATCCATCTCGGTCGCCGCGGCACAATCGTCCCCGCCCATCGAGGTATCAACGACGTTGCCGCCGGATGCAGGTGCCACGTACGGGAGTTTATTGATAACAAATGCTGCAATGCAAGGCATATCCGAGATCGAGTCAGAATCTGATGTTGGGCCGAGCGTGGCGGAGAGTCAGTTGCAACCGTCTTTATGCACTGGCAAAGGTGATGCACAATCACCGCTGACACTACAGGGAGGGGCCGGTGGGGATGGCGGGAAGGGAGGGGATGTGGAGGGAATGCACCGTTCTCGCAACCTCGACACCTTAACCACTGATATTGATTAAAAGGGTAAGGATGAGTTAGGCGGGAGGGGTGCAATTGGAGGGGGAGAATCCAGTGATATAATTACAACTTCACCTCTGCCTTGTTGAACGAAATTGTGTAATTGACTTGGTTCGTTGYTTTGTTTAAAACAGAATTCGTATTAGTCTYYGTAMGCACCAATTCTACATCGTTTTTCCATTTATGTATATATATTTTTTTCACCTCAAATTTTTAATAGACCTGAGATGTTTAGATTGACTGCCCGTCTCGACGTCCAGTAACAAATCGTGGTGGGAGCGTATGTGTGTTATTGTACATCTCTCTCTCTCTCTCTCTCTCTCTCTCTCTCTCTCTCTCTCTCTCTCTCTCTCTCTCTCTCTCTCGTTGCGACATGGACGTGTGTTTAGGGTGGTTGATCGATGCGAGGAATGAATGACTGCATATGTGAATGACATTCATATAAGTAAAATATTAGAGAAATAATGAAAACATGCCTTGCATGCATCAGCTCTCACAAAGCGTTTCGCCATGCACTCACAATACTTGCCCCGTCCGCCCGCGTGAATGTCCTCTTCCTCATCGTCTGTGGTGTGCAGTACAAATGACAACAACGGATACAAGATTGTGCAAAAGAGGATGGACAATGCATCTCGCAACTTCGTCTTTATCGGAGAGGGAGATGGCAGCACTAACGCATATCATTCGCGAATACGGGAATAGGTACCCCGATGTCAGCACACAAGATGCGCACAATAACGAAGTGTTGCAACTCACTCGCAGCGATTTCATTTTACTCGCCGTCGAACAACAGTGGTTAAACGACAACGTGATCAACTTTTATCTCAACCTCGTAGCATTAGACAACTGCTGTAGAATACAACACGTAGAATGCGACGCGGATAATGAGATAGTCATTAGAGAAGGAAACGGTCGCATTCCCAAAGTATCAGTGCTGAGCTCGTTTTTTTTTGTCAAACTTTTCGATAATGACATGAGATATAGAGGCCAAGAGGTAGAACGCTGGTACCATGACGTAATTATAAGTGACATGGATCTGATTATTGCTCCTTTCCATATCGCACACCAGGACCACTGGACCTTGGTCGTGGCTGACTTAAGGAGGAGGAAATTCGAATTTTACGACCCCCTCGACCCCRACAAGGAGTTYGCGTTAAAAGTGACCGGCGGGTTTGCAAAGTTTTTATTCGAAAGATCGAAAGTGCAAGGCAAAGAGGTGGACACGAGACCATTCAATCACATATGGAATGTAGAGGGCAATTTAAAGCAACATGACACGAACGAATGTGGGGTTTTTGTACTCACGTACGTGTCACTTTTGGCACGGGGCCAACTTCCGCCTTTCTGTTTCACCACAGATGACATACCCACGATACGTCGTCGGATGGCATTGGACCTAGTGGCTCGTGAGTAGTGCGTATGTGATATTCTATAGTATGATTGCGAAGGGGGCGGACGTGGTTGGCACGAGATGACGCTTGACAAAAAACAATATATATATGGTGTTAATTATTCCTCGGTGCACTGTGTCACTTGCCCTTGCATGGTACCTTACACCTTACACCTTACCCCATACACCTTACACCTTACCCCCTTACACCTTACACCTTACCCCTTACACCTTACCCCTTACACCTTACCCCTTATACCTTACCCCTTTTCCCTCATACCAGAACGCTCATTTGTAATGGTTTTTGCACTTCAATCATCTCAAAAATGACAATTTCAATTTCGTTCAAAAAATATAAAATGTCCGTTTTGACGAAATCGCTGTTATTGGTCGGCGGTAGGATGGAATGAATAACTTTGGCAGTGCATCTCATCGAGTCAAAACTAAGGTTGTTCGATAACCGTGTTGGCTGCATATATGTTATTGTCTAAAGCCAACTCCTCGTTGGCGGCTGTATGATTTTTGTGAAGATCGACCCGGGATGGTCGAGTTTTATTTTGATCTCGGGTATCTAATTGCAGATGAAATATATATTCCTATCGACTAAGTAACCGTTCCTTTTGATATAACCATGTGTGATTGTTATAATTTTCTTTTGACTCATGTTTAAAGGGGCAAGGAGGTTTTACGGTTGGTTGAGACCATCCTTGTCGATCGGCGTACGCTTCGTACTTAGGAGATCAGCACCCTAAGGAACGAACGATGTCCAGGTTCAATAGGCGTTTTAATCGCGAGTACCTATACTATAGTGAACAAGCAAATGCCCACGGTTGACCCACCTCTGCAACTGCATTTGAAAACTTTCGCACGTGGGTCAGCAGCTCGGTAGGAATACGCCCCTAAGGGTGGTAACAACCCCTTAGGGAAGCAAGCTTATGCCCCACGGGAACCTGTCCTGTCGTAGGGGACTGCGGGATGCACAACAGGCGCACCCGGCTAGAGCGACAAAGGGACGTCGCAACCACGGCCGTCTCGGTGGTTTGCGAAATGTTTTGCGTCGTCCCGAAGTTGTCTCTATAGTCTTTGTTTAAACTCCTGCGTACGCGCGGGGTCCGATGCGCTCGACTCCGCGTCCCACCACCGCCAGATCTGGTTGACCATGGGGCAGTCCAGGAGGCAATGCTCCAGGTCTGCCCACAACTGTTGCGTGGATATGATGAGATTGCAACGCTGATATTTCTTAAAGCACCAGTACACCACACATAGGCCCACGGGTGTCAATATGAAACCCACCGCCGATTTGTTTTTTTTTAACCACCAGTACTTGGCCCAGCTATCAGCCACGAAAAAAAATAGAGTAGAAACATTTCTAGTCGGATGAATTTGGGCACTCTTGTAGTAGCCCGTACGTTTCCTAAAATTGTGGCACGTTAACGGCCACGACTTGAGGACGTACTGGTGGTTTAATGGTGCCCCTGGTGGTGCGGCCCCTCCAAGTTTTGCTTGTGGCGACAAAAGCTTTCTACTAGCGGTTTAAAACACAAGTACACAGCCCCAGCCTTGCAGTCCGAAACTTGTCGCCACAAGAAAATGAGGCGAGGCTGAAACATCGAACGCTGAGCCCGCCGTTGATAAGTTCGATCGGCGGCCCCGTTTTCTTTTCGCGACTCCAGAATTGTAGGTGTCAGACCCCTCGGCCCATGTGTCGATGTACTGGTGGTTTAAGGGCTTCCCAGAGTACAATTCCCTCAGTGGTTGGTGTCCCCTCTGGGTCACGGGGAACGCTTAACTGCCCCACCTTTAGTATCAACCCTGGTGCCTATCACTGTTGTTCGGTCCAAGTTACCTGCCCATTGGTAGGGTAATGGTCCTGAGTGCTGGTCACACTGAGGTAGGATAGTGGGATAGGGGGCGTGCTAGGAGCATTGACATAAGGATGGGATGGGAGGTGGTCCCATATTCCAGGACACCCGCGGCCTACTACTCCAGGTGATCACTGTGTACTCAGTGACTGGCATCTACAACACCATGGACTTAAAAAAAAAGAAAAAAAAAAAGAGAACATGTGGTCTGATACTTTTCTTTTTCTTTTGAGATAACTGCGTCTGTGACCGCTGCACAGTTCAGAATTCGCAGAAATAACAGTGCATTGCAAGCTTGGGTGAAGACGAGTTAGAAACTGCAAGAAAAACAGTAAATCATGCGTTCGATGGCCTACAGGTTCAATAATTGGCAAAAACGGGAGGTGGAGGTAGTGGTACCGCTCTTTTTTCCGTGGCCTGGCCTGGGAGCAGTTACCGGTAGCAGATCCTCCTGTTTTTGGCTCGTTTCCCAAGGGGTGTGGCCTAGGCATCTCGGTTGTGGCCCAGCCACGGGCGTGGGCTAGACATCTTGGCCGTGGCCCAGCCGTGGCCAAGACATCTCGGCCATGGCCCAGCCACGGGTGTGGCCTAGACAGATCGGCCGTGGCATAAGCAGGCACGAAAAAAAAAAAAAAAACGAATCGCATGCGCAAAAAAAAACAACGGCTAGAAGTGCACTCTCTCTCTCTCTCTCTCTCTCTCTCTCTCTCTCTCTCTCTCTCTCTCTCTCT